CATATTCTGGAGGAATGGGGGAATTTGACTTCCAGGTTTGGCTCCCAAAGTTGATTACACATTTTTTCAATGACTTTTTAAATGGAAAATTTAATCCTTGGAGCAGAGACTAGACCCAGACTCCCCATACCAAACCCCTACTCCAGGACAGTATCGTTTTGGCTAGAATGTAGAATGAGAGTTAGAGCAAGTGTAAGGAAGCTAGGAGCGCTCACGCAAGGGGGAACAGTTGTGTGTAGTTCTAGATAGTGGATCTGGTTGTGAATTACTGCTGTGTTTTGGCAACCATCTCAGGATTATGAGTAAGCATCTATAGATGCAGGAGGGGCAGGATTTCTGAGACACACTTCTCTTCAGTGTTTTCTGTGACTTTGATGAGTTTCAGTCCTGCCTGTTCTGACGGTTGTCAAAGACCCCTTCCTGGTTCCTAATTTACAATGTGTGACTTAGTTTCTTTGCTAGAGTTGTGAATTCCACTTATGGAGGAGCAGACCTAACTCTGGGGAGCTGCTGTCCGTGGTTGCCCTCAAAAGTCTTTTCAAGGAATGGGGTCTCACCAAGCTTCTTCTCACAGCTTCCCCAAAGAAATCCAGTCTGGAGTCCTAGAGGTTATTTCTCCTCCTGCTTCTTATTATCCAGAACTTTCCAACCTGAAGAAAACATTTGGGGATTCAGAGGACAGAGTAAGGTAAGATAGCTATATAAAACCTAAGAACTTTGCTAACAGTATAAAATGGAAAATTCTGCAAAAGTCAACGTTGTTTGAGCTGATAATGTTTCTATATTTCAGAGCTAATGGACCTCAAGTGTACTTTTGTTAAAAATTATTACACAAGGGGATCTTGACAAAAGCTATGCTGCACGTCAGCTTCAGGGTGAGAGCCAAGGCTTCTCCTTTGGGTGTGGACTCTAGGCATCCCACAGGTTTTAAACCAGATGGATAATGCCAAGAGGCGGTAGGCTAGATGATCTGGTCATAAAGGAAAAAATAGGAAAATGTTTTATGTGGCAGATGAGGGAGAGGCTCTGTGAACACACAAAGGAAACCCCATGTGGCCCCTTAACTAACCCATAATGACTACTGTGGGTTTAATTACTGACCTAGCTTCTGGTGATCGTGGACTTTTTATGCTACTGTTAATAATGTATCCTAACTGGTGATTTCATTCACTTATGTGCCCCAAATTCACTGAGACAGAGATTCTAACCTAACCAAATTGATTTATTGGAGGAAACTAATTTTCTTTTGATCAACAATCACTTATCAGAAGCTACCCCAACAGTGCAGCAAGAGAGCTGCAGTACTGAGAGTTTAGGTCGAAGGAAATCAGCAAGTGTATGTATGCATGTAGATTGGGTTTATAGATCAACCTTATATCTTTCAGAGCATAAACACGTTTACATACTTATAGTTAAGTTTCAGATATTATTAGATTTGAATCAGATACACTTTTATGTTAATTAAATACTGATAAACTACTCTCTAGTCTTTTAGCATTGATTATCAAACATCAGCTTCATCCTCTGGTAAAATGAGAGACTGTACTTTGTAGAAAAAAATCTGTGTTTACATTTAAACCTGAAAATGACGTTTATCAACCTGTTTTCTGTGCTGTTCATCAGTAAAAGCACTTAATTTTAGATCTTTAAATAGTCATTGTGTGTTGATCTCTACTGTTCATAATATAATGAGTAGAATCTTTACGTCATTTGACACAAATATACTTGTCAGACGTTTTGTTTCAGGCTGCATTGATACAGATAAAAATTTTTTGCTTAGTTAATGTTCACTTTTATAGGAAAGTCAAATTATTTACAAATGTTTACACTGATTATAGAGGAATTTTTATTCACTCAACAATGAGTTAGAATACTCAACCTTACAGTTTTACTGTAGAGAAAAAAATGCAGAGCATTAGAAATGCTTTTATTATAGATATAACTCTTGCAACCCCCCCAAAAAGCTTATCAGAATTTGCTGCTTATGTTTAGGTGGAGAACTAAACAGAATTTGGATTATAGCTTTTTAATGCTATATGCCCAACCTAAGGGAACATTTTATTTACAGGTATGTTCACATTATCATTAAGTAGCTGCAATACATCTGTACTGATTATTAGCTTTGGCAATTTTAATTTGTTTCAAAGGCCTCAATAAAAACAGCAAGCTATTGTCGTCATCTGTGTATTTTGCCTGTGCTCTTTACAAGCATCCACGTATTTCTGTGTTTATGTAAGTCTTGCAGCCAGGTACTATTTGATTAAATCCATTTGTACCTTCCTGTCATTTGTGAGGTCGAATAACAAGGTAACTGAAGCATGAAACCCTTATTTGATTAGGTTAAGAAAGTCAGAGTTTAATGTGTTTTCACTTGGTGCAGCAAGACAGAACAGTCGTGGTAGCTCCAGGTTATAACCCAGATCACCGTGAACCAAAAAACCCTTACGGATAGGGAAACATACCGGTATAGTGATACTGGAGACAAGGTTAAACTGCAAGTTGGTACAGATCCTAAATTCTCCAGAAGATTTAGAGTGTTAGGCTTTAAGAAGATCCCCATGCATTCAGGCTTAGGTTTAGCCATCATTCTAGGTTTGTGCTAATTTGCACTTCATAAAGACGATAATCACCACCAGAGATTCCAAAATTTATCATGACTCTTCAGTAATGGAACAGATCCATAAAATTTCATGTAGCTCATGAATGTCAACAGTTTTAACTAAGCATTTTGCTTAGTTCTTAGTTTTCCTGGGTCTTCTCCTGCTCGAACAGGCCTCAGACTCTGTATCACGTAAGTACATCACAAGGTTCCCAGAAGCAGGAGAGAAGACCGCAAGAGCAGGCTCCTCGTACAATTCTTGTCAGTATTTAACACAAATGCATTTGAGCTGGGCTACTCAAGAGTCTGTTCTCAAATTTGGCATAGGCACTCAGAAGACGGGAGGACAAAGAAAAATGTTGTCTATTGCACAGTTAAGGTTTGCTGGAAAATGAAGTATTTTCCTGTCACTTTCGTGTATTTTTAAGAACGCTACCCAAGTTTACTAAGTGCACTAGAGCATTAAGGCATGGGAAACATGGTGAAGGGAAATGTTAAGCACGCTGCCAGACACTTAATGTCTCTTTCTATTATAAAGTTCTCCAAGCATTCATGTTTGCATGGAAATGACTTACTTAATGTATTTGTATTTTTAAAGAAATTTGAGAATATGTGTTTTCTTATCTGGGACGTTATATAAGGATGAACTGTGTTACTCGGAGCAAAGCCTGGATTGTGACGGCCTGGTGGTAGTTATGGCTCCATTCAGAATTTTCTTAGAAAGAAACTGTGCTTTCCTCATACCGTTACCACTTCTTCAGTACATCCATTTCTTCATTTGTGTGTCCAGTCTGCAGTTACTTCTGTAGCACAGATGCTGGTCTACCCAGAAAATACTCTGTAGAGTACAGGTGAAAAGAAGGAACACATGCTGCCATAAAGTTAGTCATGATCTCCCTCCATTTGGAAGCCTTGTATTAATGGAAAGCAAATAACTTAAAAATCCCTTTCCTCAGCCTGGTACAAAGATTTACTTCAGTAATCTTAGGGAAAACTTGAAGTAGCTTAGATTTTATTTACTGTTTTGTCAGGAATTTGGGTGACTGGTATTCACTTCTGAATTTTGAAAGAAGATAAGCATATGCAATTGCTCTTGATGTCTACAGGATATCCTGAGCCAGGCAAGATCTTAGCTGAATCAAGACGTAAACACTCATTCTAGGACACTGCTGAATCAGGATTTAAGCAAGTAGCTTTGTGAAGTCCATTGAAGCTAACAGGGTTACACTGTGGATGAACTTTACCTACTGATCAAACATAACCTTTGAAAAAAGACAATAAATCCCATCAGTCATCTCATCTCATCTCATCTCATCTCATCTCTGCTACTTGAAGCATCTCTTCTACTTTGCCTGTCTTTCCCCCCCTCCCCAAACCAGCTACTGCTCCTTTTGGGCTTTTTTGTGAAGTTTTCTTAATCAATAAAAAAGCTAAGAGAACTTTGAAATACTTGTTTCCACTTTCACTATTCCTCCTGGAGTCCACCAGAGCCCCTTGAGACACTTGTAATAATGTCAGAGGCAATATAATGGGATCTTACCATAGCTGTAAAAGCAGGCATTCGAATCCTTGAATAGTAGTGAGGAGATGCATTTGTTCTTTGTGTCCGTATAGACTTAGTTCATTCTGAAGTGATAAAACATTTCAAATCTGAAAGCACCTTCGAGAAACTCAGATACAGCAGTTTTTGGGAAGTGTTTTCTACTAGCACTCGGGTGAACCAAAAATAAAACATTAAATAAATCTTTTAGTATCCTCAGTTAAAATCTGAAATAAACTTCAAACTTAGTTAACTGAACTACTGCTATGCTTTTTTCACCTCATGAGTTTTTCCCTTGTGGAGGCTGGGGGAGCTTTGTGTATTCATATATAACATATATGTATATACTAGTAATATATATTGCCAGCAGCACTTATCTGTACACCATTATTACAATATCTCTAGTGTGTTTCTCTAATGGTTTTAAGGCCTGAGCAATAGCTCAGTGAAAGTCATTAGGAGTCTTTGTATTGATTTTTATTTTTTTCTCCCCCTCTCCCTCCGCCCCCCCCAGACTCTAGGTCAAGCCTGTTCTTTGGTACAGTTCCTAAAAGGAATAACTTTCATGAAAGCTCATTTTTAGCTGAAATTTTCTTTATGCTTGTACTAAAAAAAAAAAAAGATGTTTATGGAATGAACTATTGGAGGTTTGTTTTCTGTGGAAAATGAGAGAATAAGATTTTTCAGCTTAACAGTCTTCACATATTCATTGAATGCTGATTCAAAATATAAAAATACCCTAATATAATTTACAAAGGAAGATACTTTCCTATCTGATGCCTACACTTCCATTGTATGCTACCACTTTTTTGTTGCTTCTTCATTTTTACTTCTCTTAGACAGATAACCCACATAAGAAAAACGCATGGAAACCCATTTATTGTCTGTCATTTAGGAAATTTACATAGCCTTGCTATTGTGCACATATCTTTTTTTCATCCCAAAGTACTGATGGGTGAAGGGAAATTAGCTGCGACCGTGCTCTGCTGGCCTTCTCATGGCAATGGGGCAAATGGACTACACAGTCCATATCTTAAACTTCCTGATCCAGCTGTGTACAGCCACTGTATGATCTCCTTTGGTAGATAAGAGCATATGAAAAACAAGTGGCTGTAAGCTGAAGCCAGAAAAATTCAGATTAGAATTAGGGTACCACGTACTAAACGTTCAGGATAATTACACATAGTATTACTGAAAAAGAACTGGTAGTGAAATCTCTACGCAATGGCAGATGCTCTTCAAGAAGATGTGCTTTAGTTGAACACAAATTACGGGCTCAGTACAGGGTTGAATAAACAACTTCTAACGGCCTGTGCTACACAGGATATCAAACTACATTCTCCAATATTCACTTTTAACTGCCAGCTTCAGAAAAGGCAGTTTCAGACTTCTCACTGTGCAAAACTTTCAGTTCATAACTACACTCACACCCACTTTGCATCACATCCTCCATATTTTTCATCTTTACTACTTTTGTATGCTTTCTTCTAGTGTTTCTTGATATGGTGGTCTCACTAGGTTTTTGAGATACTCCTCTCTCTGCCTTTCGTCCTTTTTTGGGTGCCCCTCAATTTCTCTTTAAGGATTCTCAACTCTCTTTGATTTCTTGCTCTTCTCCCTTTACATCTAGCGACAGGATATCCTCTTAGCTCATTTAATGTTATGCAAGATTTCTTGTAAGTTGATGTTTTGGGTTTTTTTTTTTTGTTGTTCTCTTCTGCATAACTGTCACCTCAACACAATCCCCAGGTCTCAGAATCTGTTAATAAGCATTCATCTTGATCAGTTCATCTCCATCTATCTATTTTTTGTTATCTTACCATCAGCAAAAGCTGACAGAGTCAAAACACATCTCTTAATCTTTTCTTTCAAACTTCATTGTACGTCTTCCTGGGTTCACTGTTGGCAATGCATTTCTCCCCTGCCAGCCCTACGCTTGTAGTAATGGCCAAATTCAGCTAAAAGCTGTGGGCCTGGCCTCTCATGCTCCTGCTGCTGACTCTGCGCTGAGTCAGTTGAGGATGCAAAACCAGCAGGAAACCATGCATTTTTCTTCTCATAGCATTCATTTTCTACCAGAATCATTAACTTTCTGAATCAGATTCCAGCGCCACCAGACAAGCACCAGGGCCAATGAAGTACAGCAGTTAGATTAAATTAACTGTATCATTACACTGCATCCCAACAACATTTTCCTGAAGGCTTAGCCTCCTCTTCCTGTGTTTTTCACACCCATAGTGAATTCAAACCCTGAATTACTTGCTCCTTAATTATTTCTGGAATTCATTTATTTCCTTTGTGTCATTACCTCTAAACTCCTTGTTTGGACTCATTATCCTCAGCTTTAGTAACTGGAACAGCTTCTGGCTTTTCAGATCCCCCATTCTTCTCTGAAAGCCATGCAAAAATGCAGCCCAGGCCTTTCCCATTTCCTTGATGGATGTCAGTCTCCTCTTCCGAGTATCCTTTACCTGGCTCTGTTGCTGTATTCAGTGTCAGCCTTTACAAAGCCTCTATGTATTCCTGTCCTTCAGTGTGCTTCGCAGCATGTTCCTTCTTTCGTGACTAGTATTCCCTGAAACAACTTGCTTTGTACTAGCGTCTCAGTAATCATCCACAGTTCTTCTGTGGATCCTTTTAGGTACGATAAAGTCTGCCCAGGCTACTTTACAGAGCTTTTAACCATCTGCTTTAGACGCCTCTCTTTTCAAACAATTTGCTCCTGCTGCTTATCAATGCTTACACAACTTCAGTACAAACTGTCTGCTGTCTTCTTCCTTAACCTCTATCTTTTTGCTTAATGTTTTCTTTTAAGTGAGATCTCTTTAAGGTAGGGAGTCCTCCTTTCTCGAAAAAGTGAGAAGCACTCATAGTGTTATAGTCACTCCTGTAAATAAATATTTAATGAATGATACTGAAACAGAGATATACGTAGAAGCTAAATAGCAACCCACTGTAGTTTGGCACAACTTCAGTACACGCTGTACAGCAGTCAAACACAATGCAGTTATCACTGACATGGCAACATCACTACCACTTGCCTTCTGGTTTTTTGTTGCTTTTTTTTTTCCCCAGCTGGAAGATGATATTATAGCCAAACCTGATTACATTCAAAGTATAAAAAACTTTGCTGCTGAACAGTCCCAAGAGTGGATGATTCTCGAGTTCTCCCAGCTTGGATTTATTGGTAAGTATTAAGACCTCAGCAGGGTCAATTGGATTTGGAGCTGTGTAGGTCGAGTAGGTCTCACTCGGGATTACGTTTCAAAGCATGGAAGGACTAACATATCAAAACTTCCTTGGTTCTTCAGGAAAGCTCCCACTGAAAGTCTTTTACTTTCTGTGCTCTTTAAAACTGTCATTTTAATGCAGAGTCTCCTCAGCACAGGATCTAGTAGGTGGGTTCCCATAAGAAGCAAGTAGTTCCACCTCGGGGCACTATGTGCCCCTGTAGCGTGTAGTCTTCTTTTCAAGAATGGAATTTGAACAATCTATAAAAAATCCGCTTCCTTTCCTTTGTGGAGCAGAACATGCGTCCCATATCATAGGGAAGGGTTTTTATTATTTTTAGTAGTAAGTTTCTTTTTATATTTTTTATTCAGTTCTAATACAATTTACTTGTGATAACATCTTGTGTTAGGTCAAACAAAGAAATCTAACAAAATCTGCTAATGCAAATAGCAAGAGAACTAAATGAACAATGACAGTATTTTAAAAGCAACATTTTTCATATCTACGTCTTAATTTAAAGATATTCAGTATAGTATTGCCAGTGAAATTGCATGTCTAGCATTCTGAGGAATTATTCAGACTTCGTTTCATCTGAGACACTGATACAGGTGACTGGCAGATTTGTGTTTGGAACTAAGATATAACTGCATGCTTAATTAGTCAGCTGGTTGACTATGTGAGAATATCTCCAGGCATGGAATGGAAATCTTTTCAAAATCCCAACCAGCTGGAGGATAAGCAAATCTCCAAAGCTGGAGCCTGTGTGAAATTTCTAAATAGTAGAATTACATCCATGTGTTTAAGGCTGGAGTAAACATAAAGCTGGTGATTTTTGCACGGCAATAAAAATGTCTGAATATGCAACTTCTTGTCTTGCTTTCAGGAAAATTGTTTAAATCAGGAGACCTGCCACTCATAGTGGAATTTTTTCTCATGTTCTATAAAGATAAGCCCATAGACTGGCTTATAGACCACCTGCTCTGGGTTAAAGTGTGCAATCCAGAAAAGGATGCAGTAAGTATGTCTATGAATTTATGAACATAAGTAATATTCAAACAGTCTCAGTGACAAAATAATTTATTTTCAAAAAGCAGAATAGAAATCTCTCAAATCTGACTTTCTTTGGAATTTGTGGGGAAAGATCTGCTGCAGATCTGCACAGAGTGGCACGGTGTTTGAGCCCATTAGGGCATGTGGAGAGGCCTGACTCACAGAAATTCAGATTTCCTCACCAGAGCTGGTTTGCCTCCGTCAGCTCAGAACACGGACAGCACAAGCTCACATCTGCCTGCAGCTGGTCACATAGGCAACCCTCCAGCACCAAAGAAAATTTTGAATGTGTAGATCTGTGTGGACTATCACTTCTCATAATCTGCTGCTGACCTTCTAATATGAAAGTCAGTACAATTTTACAGTCACAGTTGTTCTGAATTTTGCATTACCAATTCCTTTCTTTCAGGAAGCAGAACTTAAGTGTTTTGCTTTAAATCTTTTACTACCTGGGAAAAAAATTGACTGTTTGCCTGAAAAAAAAAAAATGCAGGGAAACATGTAGATCGAATGAACTAAATGATACTTTTCACTGAAAATGCAAGAAACACTTGTGTTGAATTGCAAAGGTGCCATTTCTAGCACTACAGGTGAGCCCAATGATATGTTAAGGATTTCTTTATGTCCTTTTGCATTCTTTCTCTTGCCAGTCTTTGGTGCTGGTCATTACTGGCACTCTTCTTGTATAACAGACTGTCCCATGGAGCACTGACCAGAGTTTCTGCTCCTTCTTGGTTTTTACGGTTCAAGAGTTTTATTTGATTAGTGTAGCCAGTCCCCACTCCAGGTGTTCGCACATGTTACTTTTGTGTTGATAAAGAAGGAAGAAGAGACAGATAGGCGTTGTGCAGAGTAGGAGATTGAGGGGAGTGGAACAAACAAGCTTCAAGTTTTACTGTGTAACAGAGGTGACTCCTGGGGATAGCAGAAGGTCCCTGGTTTTACACTTAGTAATGCCACTGAGGAGTCTTCATTGCCACTTCATACAGATAGGAGTAAGCTTTGAAATCCCACTCCATGGGTTAGGCCAGCTCATAGGAGTTAGCGTGAGCCTCAAGTACCTCTAATTTAGGTTCTTGCCTGCCTGTGATAACAGAATAAAAAAAGAAAGATACTATTAATGTTAACATCACCCATTCCAGATCTGTCTAACATGTGCCAACTTCCATCCGATAGATGAAACATTTTACTTTTATTTTTTAAATTACTGTTCTAGCTTCTAAGACCTGATTCATACCTAAAACGAAGCTGCGTTCATGAAAGGCAGGCAGGCAGGCAGCTCGTGCAAGCCTGCTCTGGCCAGGCCAAAGCAGAGTGGTATCAGCAAGTTTCTAGTGAGTTTCACTTCTGCAATTGCAATTTCAATTGCTGTGGGTAGCAAAACCCTATTGAGACAAGTCAGTCTCACGCTGCCCTTGGGCGGGAATGACCGGTGGCGTGACCTGCTGGGACTATTCATGGGAATGCAGAAAATGGAGGCTGGAAGGAAGACAGAGATCCCAGCTGCTGCTCCTCCTCTGCTTGACAGATTAAAGCAGCGGACTTTCCTACAGGCGCCAGAGAAGGCAAGCTGACAGAAATCCTCACGCTTCCCCCTTTCCAAGCAACTAAGAGTGTCACTAAGTGATCACACACTATGCCTCACAGGAGGGTCAACGGGGCACCTGTTCGTGCCTTTTATGGGCCATCCTGTGGTGATGGGTGTTTGGCACATGTTTTCAGCTGAGTTTTAACATACCAAGATTCAGCTACAGCTGCTCACCAAGTTGGAAAAGGCAGTTTGTGATGATCAGAGCCATCAGATCTCTGCGTGATTCAGAAACTTCATCATGTTTGCCTCCTGTGAACCATCATCCAGTTCTGGGGTCTCCAGTACAAAAAAGACATGGATCAGTTAGATCGGGTGCAGAGCAGGGCCACAAAAATGATCGGAGGGATGGAACACCTCTCCTATGAAGAAAGGCTGAGAGAGTTGGGGCTGTTCAACCTGGAGAAGAGAAGGCTCTGGGAAGACCGTATTGCAGCCTATCAGTACTTAAAGGAGGCTTATAAGAAGTACTTTTTACCAGGGCCTGTCATGACAGGACAAGGGACAACAATCTTAAATTGAAAGAGGGTAGATTTAGATTGAACATAAGGAAGACATTTTTTACGGTGAGGGTGGTGAGACACTGGAACAGGTTGCCCAGAGCAGCTGTGGATGACCCATCACTGGAAGTGTTGAAAGTCAGGTTGGACGGGGCTTTGAGCAACCTGATCTAGTGACAGATGTCCCTGCCCATGGCAGGGGGTTTGGAACTAGATGATCTTTAAAGGTCCCTTTGAACCCAAACCATTCTATGGTTCTGTGACCATATGCAGTGGCATGTATCTATCAAGTGTAGTGGGGACTAGCAGGCTGCAAAGATGGGAGCCCTGACTCAACACGGAGCCTTATCTCAGTTTCTGCACAAATGACCACACCAGTCCTGCGCTACTGATTATTCTCAGCTGCTACCATAAGTAGCTCTTTTGGTAGTGCTGCCATAGCATAAAAGGAGACATGCTGGAGACTACATTATTATAGGGGATGAACTGCAAACCCTGTCAGGAGAAAGATCACTAATTTATTTTCTTACAATTTTTTTCCTGGCAAAAGTATAGTCTGCTTTTCAAAGAAACAGCTGCCAATAAATCAATTTGCATGTATTGTGTTTTTACATTGTTTTGCTGAACATCTGCTGTGGACAAGCATAAAAATACTTAGTATTTTCTGTAGCCTTCCAGGTGGTTTTGAACTTTTAATTAGTACTTCTGTGGAAACCATAAATCCCCCATGAGTTTTGGTGTTTAAGCCAGCTGAGTGAAGACTTTATCACTTCTAGCTTTAGAAGGCATTGATACAATTTATGTAACATTTTTCTTTTATAAAACTGAAAGCACTTGATTGAAGAGGTAAACACATCACCCTCTCAGATCTAAAGATGTGAGACATGGGATACAGAGAAGTTGAATGATCTTCCAAACTCATACAATAATTCTGTGGCAGAACCGAGAGTACAATCCAGGGAGTCTCATTTTAGCTCTGTTCTATGCCATTATGCTTCATTATGTCTCATTAATTATTGTAGCATGTTTGCTTCATTGTGTCAAGCTACGCTGCTCTGTAGATACAGGGCAAAAAATTACATTTAAAGAAGTAATTTGCTATCATTCAAAAATCAAGAAACTCAGAAATTAGTACCAATTACAGTTACTTAATTCCCCGGTACATGTCATGTCACAAAGTGTACTGAACTGGAAAATCAGGATTGAAATACAGTATCTAAGGGCTTTATGTAATTATAAGAGAACAGATACATAACTTATAGTATAGTATAGTACATTATAAACCTCTCAAACATAGCAGAAATAGCCAAAATTATAAAGATTGAAATGTAACCAGAATCTATCTCAAGAAGGTCAGTTTTGGTCAAAATAGTTTAATTAGAATGATATGGCAAGGCCAAGAGTTGAAATGAAATTTGCCAGAAACAGTTAAAAAACATCAGTTTCAGATTTGAGGTCCACTTTTGTCACTCTTGAGGTGTGATTGATGGTATACAGTGCAGGAATCCCTGAATTAGATAGAGGTGGTTGAGCCTTCAAATCTGCATAGCACCATGAGTGGAATTACGAGTTTAGGTCTAGAAACAGTGTATTTGAAATAAGGTGACTGTTAATCTAAGGATTGCTCATTTAAATATGGATAGAAAACCTGGACCCATACCCTCAACTGCCTAATGAAATTGCCTTGTGGAACTTAGTTTGTCTCTCCTTTATTTAAATAAAACTTCACTCCCTTTTACTTTCTTTCCAGATACACTGTGAAAAGGAAAAGGCAAAATTACGTATCCGTGCTAAACCATCTCTGTTTCAGCATGTGGGAATTTATTCTTCATTGGCTGGGAAGATACAGAATTTGAAAGTAAGGATGAGAAATTAATGCCATATTTCTAAATGACATGCTTGTGTTCTGACTTGTTTCTCAAATCAGTTTCAAGCATTGCATCTTTGGCATTAGATGGCATTTCCATATCCAAGGACGTTGGTTTGCAGATTTGGGGGAGGATATTGATCTGGCATCTAAACTGCAGGTGGGGCACACTGCTTCTGCACAAACATCTTTGAATCTCTAATCTGAACACTTGTACCAGTCATAGTAGCATTTCATGGCATGTAGGAACGCTCTTCACAGCACAAGGTTTCATGTGCTCTGCACTGTACAAACACAAATGGCTACGATGGTTTGTTTTGGCCGAATAGTCCACACTACCAATACTAGGGACTGCTAAGAAAAAGGTATTACTGGCAGGACAAGGGTGCCGCTATCGTGACGGCCATAGATTTTTTAGGGAGAGTTTGGAGGGCAAACAGTGGATCTACCACGTATCTGATAGGACAAGAGCAATGAAGCACCAGACCTCAGGGATGTCCTGATGGCGCCATTTAAGACTAGTCATGAGATCATTCGAATTGCTGTATTGGATCAGACTACAGGTTCACATAGCCTTTAGCAGAGACCAGTATCGGATGTTCTGGCAGAAGGCACAGTAGACAACTATGAAATAGCCTACTGTGGAGAAGTTTATTTTTAAATCTAGGCGACTGAGAAATAGTCAGTACAGCTCTGTCTATAAACTGTAACATTGAGTCTCAGTGATTACACTGAAATTAATATTCTATTTCTATTAGAAATAGATTGTATATTTTTTGACACTGAGGTAATTACTTTCTGGAATAGCTTCCTGTAGTAATTCAAGATATTGGAGCACTTTTTTTTCATTGTATGAGTGAAATTACATTTCTTTATATCCAATAGGATAAAGATTTTGGCAAAAATGTGCTACATAAAGTACATAATAATCCACCTGCAAAAGTGGATACAAGCCTAAGAACATACCAGCAATATACCTTGGAAAAAATTTATAAAGGAAAAGACTGTTTTTGGGCTTCAGCTCCAGTGGCAGGGGACTACATCAGCTTCACCTTTTTAAGTCCACTAAAAGTCGAAAAGTAAGTATTACATGATATGGAATATGGAAGCCTACACATACCCAGTCTGGAAATGATTGAGTCTGTTCAAAATCACCAGTGCTCAACTGTTCACATAAACCATAGCCTCGTTACGGACAAAAAATCCATGATTTGCTCTTTATCTGCTCCCCTTCTTGAATTCCCCTCCTGAAATACCTTTCTTCCTTGGTAATTGGAGAGCTTCTTAAATTTTTTTTCCTTTTATTTCTTCAGTTAAACATTTTGCATTCTCTTATGATAATTCTCAAAGGAATTTGTTTTTAACTAATGAATTTCATCAATGGAGTCAGTGAAAGCTTTACTTGTACAGTTGTCAACAGAAAGGCTGTTTGCATGATGTCAAGTCAAAGGCCATGTCCCAGACCAGACATTTATCAGCGTAGGTGGAAGCGAAGAGAAAATATCACTATTGTGGGGAAATAATGTAGAGTGAATTAATAAAGGTGGGATTCAGTTGAAGATTCAGAGACTTGAATGTAGGTGTTTACAGTAGAGATCTCTACGTAAGATAGGTGTGTAAGCTCCCACTATACATGACAGATAGAGATCCACTTGATACAGTTAGTGGAAGCTAGACAGCTATTCACCTCATTCTCTACTCGGTCACCTGAGTCAGTTGCTAAGTTTCATTGACTGTATTGAGCATATCTCCATTGCCTGTAATGAGAGCTTGAACACTTGGGTCACAGTCAGACTTCTAACTTCACATGTTTGGATCTACAGCCAAGTCCCACCTTGAATGTTTTTCTCATTCTAAAAAAAGAAACTATCATCTTCTCTGTTTTCACACCATTCAACTTGGGTGTCTTTGAAAGGAAGACACCTGTAGCTTCTGTTTTTCAGAAGGACTTACTCTATGAACAATACAAATTGAGGCTGGCACCAAAAGAAGCAGTCCTGCTTGGTTCAGGAAAGTTTCTTCTCTCTGTGTCAGATTGGAGAACAGATCTGAGTTAAAACTAACCTAGCAAGAAATACGGTTCCAGGAGAGTCTCTCTGACACGAATTACCATAATTACCATGTCTGTAATGATACTCAGAGAGAAGATTCCTTCGCTGTTGTTACACTTCCTCCATTAACTGGTCACAAAACTAAGAGACTTCCATTTCTGCAAAGATTGTGGATTTCTCATTTATTTAAAAAAAATCTAAGAAAGCAAGTCTGTATCTCTATCTAGTGAGCTGCACTAAATGACAGTTGTTATAAACACTGGCGTTCTGTGATCAACGCTGTTAATTAACTGGTTTATGCTTTGGGAAACTTGGGTAGCCTATATTTTTGCATTTTCCTGTTACTGGGAAGCTGTACTGGATGAAGCTCACTTACCTATGGTATTGCCTAATGGCTGGTCCCAGCCCCATCACATTGCTACCTGTGAAAATGTATAGTTAATCCTATAATATTTGGCGGTCTTCTTAGGTCTTGATTGTTTGATACCAGAGGAGGGAGGCTGATCCTTTAACTTTCCTTAGCTCTTCTTGGATCTAAAAACCTAAGAACACTAATGCCAGAAATGTAAAACCAAAAAGGGATTTATTTATTTTTTTAAAATCCCATAGGTGTTTTTGCTTGGATTCTCGCTTTGACAGTGCTGTTGCTCATTGGCTATAAAGGAGATTATTTAGAAGCACCTGAATTGATCAGTATTGATAAAAAGGGGGCATTCTCTTGGCATGTAGCATATGGTCTAGTAGAAACAGGGATTTTTGCTGCCATTGCATTCCAGAAGCCCATCTCACCTCGGCCTTGGGGTGGTAGGACCAGATCAGAGGGCAGATCTTCCTAAGCCATTTAAACCTGGAAAGTTAATTTATTTGGGACTTGAGCACTGAAAAGGGGGAACACCTGCATTCATGGTTCCAGAGAAAGATGGTTTTAATGCTTGTTCTGTTTAAAATGAAAAGCCTCTAGTATGGTTTGGTCACACATTGGAACGTTTCAATGCCTATTTCTGTTCTCTGTAGCCCACAACTAATTAGAGAAAAGGTATTTGAATCTTTCCTTCAAAACTGGAAAGAATTACTTCCGTAGAACTTTTCTAAAGTATAAAATACCTGGAAATAATACACCTTTATCATCAGGTACTTCTTCAGAAGTGGAAACATGGAGCACCCTGGCGATAAACTGTTTAACACTACCGTGGAAGTGTTGCCAGCTGATGTAAGTCTCTTATTTCCAACTGTAATACACAGTGCTGTTTCATTTTAAGAATGGTGTTCAGCATAAAACGTCATGCCCTAGAAAGTATTTCTGGAGATTTTATTGTTTTATTTTTTACAGGAAGTGCTAAGAAAAGAACTGGTTGACAATGGAAGTAAATTTAACTACCCAGCAACCAAAGACGGATATTTAAAAATAGGTAAATTGTTTATTGTCACTTCAAAAACAGAAATTTTGTTCTTACGTATAAAATGTTTCTGCATTTGAGAATTTCATTAACTCAGTAATAAACACAACATTCCAAGGTGAACTAGTAAGGAAAAGAAACTCTTTGCGCTACTGCATAATACAGCACGTGATGTTTGACCAATGACTATCCTATTTCGTTTTAAATAATGAAGAACCCTGCCAGCAGTGGCAAAAGCCAAGGCATCTAATTAGAAGAAAAACTAATTGCAGTCTCTGCAAGGTGTTAATAGGATAATTGATTCTGGTTTGGATTTTGCAGCCTTAGCTGAAGACAAGGATTTCTTACGATTGTGACAGCATTAACTCGTGCTCCAACCTGAAATGAGATGAAGCATAACGCGATGCACCTTCCCCCTTTTTGCCCCCACCCCTGCTTCCCCTTCTTCCTTCCTCAGGGTGGTGTGTGACTTCGCTTAAACGAACTGCAGATTCTCCACATGCTTGCCAAGGCCTGGTTTCTACTATTACCTAAACTAAACCGCCACTATGTGAACAAAAACGGACTATTGGGAGATCTGCTTTGCTTGCCACTTTCTTCTGTCTCTTCTACCACATAATTGCTCTTTTCTCCCAATGAACCACTTTCACCTCACCAACGCTTCGTGTCTGCTTTGCTGTGCACCTCTCTCCCACCTCCTCGTGGCTGTTTTGCTCTAATTAGAATCATAGAATCATAGAATCATTAAGGTTGGAAGAGACCTCCAAGATCATCGAGTCCAACCATCAACCCAACAACACCATGTTAGAGATCCAAACCGAAATGCTGTCAACTCACAGTTGCACATGCAAGTTGATAGGAAATGAATGAATATCATACCTGGGATGAGTATTTTTCATTTGTCTGCAATGATTTTATGCCATAAACTTTAACAAGGTTAGTTAAAAAGCATTGAACTAGTGAAGAAATGTATCAGAATTGGTCCATGATTCCTAATGTATCTTTTTAAAAATAATCATACTTCTCAGAAAAGCTCTTTTAGATTATTTAAAGCGACCATGTGTGCCATACGTATATGGTCACTACTAACATATTTAAATTTATTTTTTAACATTTGTAGCTATAGGGTCTTTATTTTCTTGTATTCTTCTCCAGCTCCTAGTTGCTGTAACTGAAGGAATGAATCTTTCTTCTTGTTTATAGCTTTATCTTTCAGTTGTTATTGTTTGACTTTTTCCAAAAGATTTTTCCCCCTAATGTTGTGTCCCTGGAGTTAATTTATAATTTGTAATTTAGAGCTTTTGCATAAGTTCACTTGGAAGCACATTTCATTCTAGTATTGGAAGCGTATTTCTTTCTAGTATATGTTTGTTTGGGTCTTGTTTTATTTTTTATTTAGGGGCTTTTGAAAATGGGATTGCAGAAGGCAGTATCAATCAGTCAATAGGAAAAATACAGGCTATTCGTTTATCAGTCAATTCTGATTCTCCTGTGTGGGCAATACTTAGTGAGGTAAGCGTGTTAATAAAAGCATTTCAATTAAAGCTTTATTAAATGAGTTTCAGTTCTTCCTACCATATAGTATTGATAATCATTAATTTTTATTAAATTTTGAATGGGATTTTGTGTGGAAAAACTCACACAAGTGGAGAATTATATTAATTATTCAGGGAGGAAGTTAAAATTACTTCATAGAAAAAGTGCTGGAAATGCTCCAGTGGGATGATTTTCCAGTTTTTGCAATGCTGTAAGTATAGCCAGTAGAATTTGGGATAAACAAACCAACCAAAGGAGACAGGGAGGCTTTTCTAGCTTTTTTCAGTCACCATCTTGGATATTAATTATAATATGCAAACATTTTCAGATGAACATGTGAGTTTTTTATTCTTCAAATGTCTCCCAAGTGTCTGAATGTGTGCGAACCCAGAAGTAGAAAATATTCAGCAGAAGACACTGAAGAGAATTACTACAGCCTTAAACTATAGCCATAGTTGGAAGGAGGGAAAAGCTGATGTCTTAGGCAATGCTTCTGCAGATTTTAGAAAATAACATATTTTGTTTTTTTCAGGTACTTATCAAGACATCTGAAAACTGAAAAAAATACATTTCTGACGTGTCGCTTGTTACAGATTGCTTGAAAACTAGGCTAACAGCAACAAAAAACTGGCTGGGTAAAAAGAACAAATCCAAACCCATTTGATTATTGATACTGTGTATTAGGAAAGAGTTAACTATTAAATCTTTATATAAAGAATATTAGAAGCTATAAAAAACCTGATTATGTTAGTAATTTCTATAAAATGTTCTTATATATGATTAAGGTTTCATATATAAAAATCTCACCTTAGTTTGACAACTTTCAATATATATTATTATAAACAATTGATAAGGCGTTACAAGCTGTCTCAGGGTCTAAAGCATAAAAGTATGATAAGTTTCGCCAGAACTAAAAATACAGACATTTTTGAAAAATATTAAGGGGACAGTTTTCAACCAGCTCCACTAAGAACACCAGTCAATTTTGGAGGGAAAGTAGAACTGAAAGAAAAGTTGTCAATATTCATTGCAAGTATTTAGAGCAGTCCACAGAGACAGGAACAACTTTACAATATGAAAATGTAAAATCTCAAAAGATCTCACACTTAACAGAAGTGTGTTTCAGCCTTAATGTAGCATAAGTTATGTTTAATTTTTTTTTTTAAATGGGAAGTGCCTACAAGTTACCATTTGAATAACTTGAAACTTAAACAGGTATTGTTCAGAGGATTGTAAAACTTTTCAGTGAATTGTGCATTGAATTAACTACAGGAAATAATAAGGGTATTATGTATAACTATATTTTTGTAGAAAGAAAATCTATTTAAATAAAATTTTGGATCCTATAACTTGATAATGAGTATCTACTGATATTAAATCTTGGTCACAAGGCAAAACTCCATATAAATTGGAAAATGAAAGGTAAACCACAGTAGTCTCCTTTGAAATGTTTTCGGGAAATGACAGTCCACCTTGGACACCTACCCGTTAATGTGCAGAATTCCTGTATTACTTCCTTGGCACTTGAAGCACGACTGCACCCTCATTCTCCCGCACGTGCATTGCATCCTAACAGCAGACAGCGAGAAATAAGCTGCATTGTACACTTTTGCATGGATTTGTATTAAATGGGTTAAATTAATGTAGAATTGTATTCTTAATGCAAGAGTATTTTTATTTAGAATAAGATGAAATTAATTTTCTTACATTAAAACAGTTCAGAAGGGTGGTTTTTTAAAGACCACCTCTAATAATATTTTGATAATTTACAGCATTCTTTATATACTGTGGTGCTATATATATGTGCGTGTAGGTATCTATATGTACGTATGTATGCATGTATTTCTTGGACCAAATATTGCAGCCTTCATGAGGTCAAGAGTTTAATGCAGGTTGAGAATTAATGCAGTAATCCAGAGTGCTTAGAGATACACGGAGGGACACCTTTATCCATCAGCACTTAAGAGTAAAAAGAAGGGTTTAGTGAAACTGAGACAAGTGGATGGTGAAAAAGCAGTGGCTAAAACTGCAACTAGGGAAAGAAGGGAAGCAAAGTGGCTCTGCATCGAACTACCTGGCACAAGAAGGGCAGAGCCGCCTCCCTCTGACCATGCTCAGAATCGCCTCTCAGATCGTCTTTTTCTCTGCTGATAGGAGTCCGAGACATTTCGTCACGAGAACTTGTACTAGGGAATAAAACACAGATTACATTAAGGGAAGACAAAATTGAGTTCTCGGAAGTCATTCTCTCTCTTAACCTGAAGTGCTTAATCCCCAGTGCATCTCTGGGGAAAAACAAACTGAAGTGAATAGGGCTCTCTACCCAAAAAGGCAAAGCAGCAGATAACCTACAGAACACTTGGGTTTTTTTCCTGCAGAGCTTTAGAAACTCGTATGGGTATGAAAATTATTAAAGCGTAGGTCTTCTCCTGATGCCTTAGTTCAGTTCTTAGTATGTCACAGCTTTTAGTACCCTCACTGAAATCGCATCGTGGCATGGGGGTTATCTTCATCTTCAGGATCTCGTCAAACGCTTCAGAATGGCAAGTTCTTGTAAATGTACTGTAACTCTGTAGTCTGAATTGCCCTCTTATAAGGCCTGTTTCACCTGCCATCAAAAGATGAAAGAAGTAGAAATCGAAGTAGAAAGAGCATTTCTTGTAGAACATTTTGCTAATTAAGTGCATGAGCTAGTACAAACGTAAAATCTTCTTTTGCCATTGCTTTCACTGCAAGAGTGTCACAAGCTGGAAGCAGCGTCTGCATTCAGGCTTATTACACTCACTTATTACAGGGAAGTGTCACTGTAAGGAGGAAATTTCAGAGCGATTATTAATCAGTGAAAACACAGAAAATACTAAGGTAATAATTTTGTAACCAAAACCTCTTATTTTCACAGTGAAATGAGATTTCACTCTAACTGTTGAGGCATAATTTCAAAAAACTCATCAGAATACCTGAAATTATATTAGGAAGTGACGGGACTGTTTGTAAATACTTTGTAAAGATAAATTTTCCATTCTGTGCTGCCAGCTTTGTGCTTCATTCATTCTGTTTCTGTTTTTACGTATTTTACATAACCATTGCAATCACGGAATACTCTTCCCATCACTTCGATGTAAACGAGGTTTTAAATGTTGACATAGTAAATAATGAAGGCTTGCATATGCACCGTTAAAGTAAAATTTTGCTTAGTCCTGATTCTTCTCTGTGCTTTGTGGAGTGCAGAGGTTTCTTGCACCGTCTGCAGAACCACAGCTCCACTATAAAACCGAAGGAACCTCACGAGAGGAACCAGGATTTTCACTGAAGAAGTGATAGCTGAATAGTGAGCCGTACAGCCCCAGGAAGTTCACGACAATGGACTGTAATGGAAGTACACTTACGTACTTTTGCATATTAATAGCAACAACCACCACTGCCGAGTGAATTAGCTGGGTTTGCTCACAACAGTTTCTGTTAGACAAGGAGAGGTTACAGAACACGTGCAGCTTCCTTTCCACCCTGCAAGCAAGTTCCTACCTGTGGTTTTCCATTTAATAATCCTACGCGCTGAACCTGCACGCGCCTTCGCACACCACGGCTCTGAGGCCAGTTTAAAGGCTGCAAAGAGGCCTCCTCGTGGGAAGCTTCAGTTCAGGTAACGGATCCATGGGATGAGGAACATCCTCTGACTTTATGGGTGACTGGCTTTTGCAGCGTAGGCATTGTGATTGTAACTGTAAAACACAGGCAGTAAGCCTAAGTCAAAAAAGAACTATGAAGGGAGTTTCAGATTCCATACCAGATCACCAAGCTCCTTCAGCGGGAAGTTTTACTTCAGTAATTTCATGTGGTTTAAAACATAGTCTCGAAAACATTGACTACCTCAGGCTCATTGTACGTGTACCTAATCAGGTTAAGTGCCTGTGTGGGAAGAAAGCACGTTTTTCAAGCTAATTCAATATTAATGACGGTTTATTCAACCCATTTTGATTTCCACTGGAGCACAGTTACTCATTTCTCTGAACGGTGTGTCTCCATTCTTGTCTTAAATCTTTTGAGGGACTTTTGAAAGGGGAACGCTAACATTTGTCTTCAATACAAAAGGCAATGACAAACCTGGCTTTACCGATTGTTTTACATGTTTTTATTTCCACTAATTATGTGGGCCCCTAACCTCAACACTGTCACTATGACTTTTTGCACAGCTTAGTACAAGCACACATCTACTGTAAATGCTAATGGGTGCTAAATGTACACTGAGAAGAGACTAGACTCTTAACAAGAATATCTATTAAAATTAATTAGGAGATACTTAGTCCAAAGTTGAAGTTGTGTTTGCTTACTGAATTTAAAACCTTCTCTCTCGCATGTTTGAGGAAGTAAGTGGATAGTGTCCCATACACAAGGATCCCAATTTTCCCCAACATTTACTTTTTCTATTACTCATAAGTCAGACATTTGTTAGCTACATTACTGGTTGCACAACCCAATTGTCTTGTCTGAGAGTGTTTTGGGTTGTGGGTTTTTTTAAAACTATTATTTATTTGCATAAATGTAAGATTCCAGATAAATCTTTCATAGATGCCTTACAGTGAACAGTAGGAATATTAACAATTAATTCTGCAGTAAGCAGAAATCTTTAATTCTGCAATCGCTTCTAAAAGGATGTATGTGTATTTCAAGCTGCGAGGATAGTTTTCATGTGTCTTTGTTTCATGATGGATTGCTCAAGAAGATTCCTTAATTTTTTTTAGCTAGAGATGTCTAAAGATTTCTGTAGGACTGTGGTACCATTTTGCAAAAGTACATTAAATAAGGATTTGAACTAAGGCATAACGAATCTTTCTGATCAGCATTAGAATCACAGAATCATCAAATCACATGATTGAGAAATGGTACCATAGTTCTACAGAAACTTCAATCTTTAGACACCTCTAGCTAAGCCTTATCAAGAGAAGAAATTGTGCCGCTTTTCTGTGACATAAATATGCACTGCGTTTAAGTTGTGAAGTTGACATTGCTCTTTGGAGCTTGTAATTGTAATAATCTAAGGCAATCTTAATTTTTGATGACACTATCAAAATAGAAATATAATCAATTTAAGTTTTGTGCTTGTGCGTTAGTTTACAATGACCTTTTAATACTTGAAAGAGAGAATATCACAAAAATAAACATGAGCATTTGGATTTACAATTCATATTACACATTCTAACGGTAACTCCAAACAGTTCTGAGTCAACAAACTAGTATGTGGTAGACATAAACCAAATGGAGAAATCTGTAAAAGTTATCTGAAGTTATAAATTATTTTAGGAGGGGGGGAGCTTAGCTTAATGGCGTATAAGCCATAACAGTTGTGTCCAAAAGACAGTTTTCCTCAACATGGTAAGAATCAAATAACATAAAACAGATTCTTGTGGCCTGAGCGCTGGCTGAAAGAGGCTTAGAGTTATGAGAAAAAAGTACTCCTTTTTCTTATGGCTATCAACATTTCTGGTATTTCTTTCCTTCTTTTCTTTCACAGACCCAGAGTTTCATATGCAATAGAAAGAAAAGCTCTGCCTATGCGCCTTA